GCTGTGATGGAGATGATGCTGGGCTGCAACCCCAGGCTGAGCTGCTGTGGCTGGGCTCATGCTGGATCTTCTTCTCTGTGTTGGTCCTTTGTGTTTGGAGATGAAAGGCGCAGCGCGACAGACAGGCCTCTCCTCTCTCCTTTAGAAACTGCCTTCTCATCTCTGGTTTTCCACAGTTCAAAAGTAAGACTTTGAAAAAGGTTTCAAAGCTGCATCTTGTATATGGAAATTCATGGCTCCAGGCAAGTTCATCATCAGCCCTGAGATTTCAAGCTTAAGAGTGAGAACCTGCAGCCTAGATATAACTCCTTTAACTTGTGCTTTGCCCTTCTCTGTTTTTCCTGTTTAAAGCCATCATAAGATGACACCAATTTTCATGGATTATGTATGTAGCTTTACTTTCGGTAGATATTTCAATTTTCTTGTAAAAACACCGGGTCAAGGAAATATGAACATAAATAATTTGGATAAGCTACAAAAATCAAATTCCCACTGCTAGTTATCAAATGTAGGTGAGGTTATGTATGCTTAGGAAACCAAACTCTGTACAACTAGACTGTAGCTGGAGATGTCTCAGAAATACCCAGAGTGAGGAAATAGCCAAACCACTTTCAGGGCAGCAGGAGGAGAAATATCATGCCTTACACTGGGCTTGGGGATGGGTTCATTTTACATGGAAAGACCCACAGAAGAAGAATGAATGAAACTCCATCACCTGAAAGCTTTGCAGTCCTCAAAACAGTTCCTGCTGCTCAACAGCAATGGGGTATTTTATAAACATTAGTTAAATGCTTTTATACGCAGATATCACCATAGCTGATTTCTTCAGGGTTCTCAGGCATGGGGGAAGCCCAAACCAAGTTTATCTGCCATGGAAGGTAAGAAGTTAAAGCTCTCAGAGCAGGAGGGATGCAGGGCAGGAAAAGGATGGGTTGCTTTGCTTGGACGTACCAGTAGGGCTCTGTGTGGGACCAGAGGCAGCCACCCACCCACTGCAAATGCCCTGTCACCCATGGCAAGAGGCACTCACTCAGTCTCTGGAGGCCAAAAGGTAGCAGAGGAGGGTGACAGAATGAAAGGATATGCTGGCCTGGGTTTGTAGGTCAAGCTGGGAAACCTGGGTTTGTACTGTTTGTAGCTTTTTTAATTTGTGGGCTTTTTATCCTTAGCCTGCTGCACTCCCACTGCAGGCTCAGTTTCCCAATCCTAGTTTTCAGCATTGCATGAGAAAAAAAGAGCAGAAAAAAAGAACATTGGAGACCCTGTGAAATGACACTTCCTTTTTTCAGTCAACCAGCTGCAGCAAAGAATCAAAAAGAAAGAAGAAACAGTATGTGCCCTTACACTTATTTCTCTAAAGTCAGGAAGGAAGGGTTATTGGAAAGCTTACTATATAGCTAAGAGAAAAGTGTTTAACTATCACTGCCTTTCATTACAGGAAGGAAAAGACAAAAACTTTGGAGAAATAATAGTAAGGCAAGAGTAACCACAGACCTGTGTGGGACAAATGTAAGCAGAGGGCTGTTCCCATCTCTACTGCAGTTTTGCTGATTTGTTACTAAAATGAGAAATTTCAGGGCCATGAAAAAGGTCAGAGGCCTGGAACACCTATCCCATGAAGATAGGCTGAAAGAGTTGGGGTTGTTCAGCCTGAAGAAGAGAAAGCTCTGGGGAGATACATTATAGTGCCCTTTCAATATATAAAGGGGGCTTATAAGGGATAGAGAGAGGCTTTTTACCAAGGTATGTAGTGACAGGATGAGAGACAATGGTTTTAAACTGGAAGAGGGTAGATTTAAATTAGATCTTTTTCACTATGAGGATAGTGAGGCACTGGAACAGGTTGCCCAGTGAAGCTGTGGATGTCCCATCCTTGGAAGTGTTTAAGGCCAAGCTGGATGGGGCTTTGAGCAACCTGGTCTATTGGGACGTGCCCCTGCCCATGGCAGGGGGGTTGGAACTAGGTGATATTTAAGGTTCCTTCCAACACAAACCATTCTATGATTCTATGAAATACTAATCTAATATGATTTTCCAGTCTTTTTGAGGGATGAAAACACTCATTGTCTTCAGGCAGAAACTGGTGGAGTACTTACCAGGACGGGCTTTGCTTCATTCTTCAGGAACAAAGGCTATCTAGGACTAATATTTAGGATAGTCTTTAACTGTCATCCATTTCTCCCACTTGCAGAATTGCAGGTAACTAAATAAGATGAGCCAAGATCTATGCAGCTCTTCAGGGCTACGCCAGTTTCTTACAGCGCCAACCCATTAGAGCTTCCTCCTGCTTTCTGTTTGCACTAATCCACGGGCAACTCAGCCCTGGAGACCTGCTTCACTGACCCCCGTATTCATTAAGAGCAATTGTTGATATTGTGTAATGGAATAGCAGCAGCGCAATTAAAACAGCTCCTTCTTGTGGCAGAGCTTTTACGGGACTGGCAGCGTCCTAATGAGATCCCTGAGCCCATCTGTCACCCTCTGCAGCCCCTGCAGCTGGTTCCACCTTTTGGTGGCCGTGTGCCAGTCTGACACAGTGTGGCACCTACAAGTATTACAGTAGCTGCTGCCACACAAAGCAAGAGGACACCTCCCTCCACTTCATCGCCAGCTCCTCCAACTTGGCACCTTAAATATACTGTATCCTCCCTCCCTATTTTCTTTCCTTTTATTCTTCTTCCTCCTACCCCAGACTCCTTGTGAGGAATGGTTTTCATTTAATCCAAGCGTGTTTGGCATCAGATTCCTTTTGTCCTGTCCAGGAGTCAAGGGCATTTTGAGGCCTCACTGAGCAATAAAGAAAGAAAGAATTGGGTCGTATTTCTATGCTCACATTGTGGCAGTTTTCTTACCCATCTTCAGCATTCCACCTTTGGAATCTGGAAAGAAGGGGGAGAAGACACCTTCTTCTCAAAGCCACTCTTCGTCAGATCTTCATTGTGCCAAGTGAAAGTGAATAGCAATGCTTTATGCCAGGAAGGGAGAAATGCTGGATCCAGGCAACTGAATAAAAATATAAATACTTTTCAACAAAAGTTGATCTCTACTGAGCATGATAACCACAGGCAAGAGAAGAAATACAAAAATAACCTATATACAGAATATAATTAATTTTGAGTTTTGGCACAACCCCCAGAGCTGCCATTCCAACAGCTGCCCAAGAGGCCGAGGAAGCGGTTAGAAAGGGGTACCAAGGGAATCCCTAAAAATCATGCTGCCATGTTAGAGAGATGGTCCAGCAGCACTGAGGGCCTGGCCAAAACCACAGAGGACAACTGCCCAAGCAGCCCAGATTTTCTGTTCATTCTGCAATGGCAAGTCCCATCATCTGCTCATGGCACAGAACAAAGGGAGAGCAGAACTTCACCCAGGTTTGCAGCTTTTGGTCACCCTGTGCACAGGAGAAAGTGGTTGTACATGACATGTGCATCTGATGACATCAAGCATGTTTATACCTGGGCAACAGAGCGTGGTATAGAGTGCCTCAAGCTAGTGACGACCTGAGCTAGCAGTCTACTGCAACCAAGGACTTCAGGGATTAGTCACCGGCGTCATGAGACAGGACGTCAGGCTCTCTCAATATCCTGAATCCCATGGCAACTCCACTCAAGGACAGGAGCCCCAGTGAGAGGAGAACAGGGTACACACACATAAACAGATCTCGGGGAGGTCTAATTAGCAAACACATCATACCATGAGGAGCAGCACATCCACAGGTGTTAAGTTTGCAATTCCCAAAGAGGAGAGAGGTGCGTTTTCAGGTCCCTCCCCTGCCTGTATTCCTGATTCACATTTACAGGTAGCCATGGTGACCAGAGTCAGACAGGAGATTTATGTCAGGCTCGATGACTACTGTAACACACATAAACAGAAAACACCCACCTTAGGACAGCCCTTTCCTGATAGGGAGATGGCTGACTTGGGCTATAGCCCTTTCCTTCTCCTGCCTGCGCTGAATGCTTTCCTGAGGACCCTTTTGCCCAGCCTGGAGCCAGCTGACCAGAACATTCAGAAAATTATTTATTTTCCTTTCCCCTCTTTGGGGCGTGGAGCAGAGATGTGCCCTAGGCAGCCTCGCTCATGGCAAATGAGATTTTTCTTAATTTGGGAAAGCAATTCTGCTTCTCTCTGAGAAGCAGAGATGCACATCCAAGCCACACGATGCACATCCCACCTCCAGACACGCTTCCCCCCTCCCCCAGATGTGAGGGTTGGAGGCAAGTAAACCCCATCTGTATCAAACCCAACGTCAACCACCGTGGCAGACTCTGCCCTGCTGTATTTCTCACAAACACGAGTGCCTCCATAAAACCCTTCCACAACTACTGCTGTGCTGGAGTAAACTTTCCTTTGGCCTAGAACCAGTGAAGGAAGCTTCAGCCCAAGGGGAATCTGGCACAGGAGCAACTCACCTGCACGATGCGTGGGCGGCTGTAGAGCTGACATTTCCCTCTGCTGCCACAATTGCTGGAGACGGGAACAGACAACCGAGAGCACAACGTTGCTTTGTCTCTAATTTTCTCCCCACCCAATAAATGTTTCAGAGACTTTTTGCAAAGCAGAAATACTTGCGCACGGTCTCTGCGCTTGAAAGCTTATCCAAATTATAATTGACTGCATTTCTCTAAAACAAAGATAATCGGCTGAGGGCTTGGGAAAATAATGTTTTAGGTGAACGTCTGCTGGAGACAGGAAAGCTGTCTGGCAACAAATTCTTTGGGGAACACACAGCTCGATGCTCTTGCTGAAGGGGATCAAGTGAAATTACAAGACAGGGAAAAGTAATGTGTCTTGAGAGGTTAAATGCAAAAGCCTGATTGCTCCTCTCAATTATCCCAAGCTCACTTTGTGAATTCACTACTTGAGAAGTGCTTATTTCCGAATTATACTGAGATGAGCAAGAGGATAAGTCAGTGAAATTACTAAATGAAAACCAACCATTTTATATAATACATGCAACCCAACCGATTTAGCACAACAAATTCTGTACACGTTTGAAATATCATGAAAATAGTGTCTTTAATATACAGTTTATATACTTACAATACGCGGTTTAAATTTGTTCATATACATTACAGGGATATTTATTTGCACCTGGTTTAAATAATAATCTGCCTTCAGCCTTTTACACAAAAGCCCAAAACAGCACAGAATTCCACAAAACCCATGCTTCGTTTTATAACGGAAATGTACTAAGCCAAAGTTTTGGGGCTTTCTCTTTTTTTTTTTTTTTTTCCCAAGTGTTACTTTTTTGACCTACCCAAAGTGAATCTAAAGAGCTAAGAACTAACAGATATTTTTAATATAATTCAGAAGATTGTCCAAGTCAAGAGAATCACTCTGCAGATTTTTCACGCTGGAAATTTGGTTACTACGCACAGAAATGGTAAAGTCTGAACAACTCCCAAACTATTAGGAGTTTAAGACATAACAAATGAAGAGTCATTTATTGCTAGGTCTCAACAAGGAGGGGTCTGCATTTCCCTACTGCCCTGCCCTCCCCAATACCGTGAATAAAACGGACCATCCCTCAACTTTGATTAGGATTTCATTCGTACCTTCTAGCTCATAGGCGGGAAAGCTGCAATTTCAGTGTGTCAAAAAGAGGAGCCAGGAGAGCTGGGCTAAGCCCTTGTCCTTTTCACACAGGGCTGGTGTTTGGCTCCGAAGTAGCGTGGTGTACCCCCTGCCCGGCCCGCAGGCAGGCGCCCCAGTGGGCAGCACACAAGGAACTGGTGCCAGCACACTTTATTTAGTGGGGAGACTGTCCTGGTCTGAGGATTGCCTAAACCACGATGGAGACAATCAAGGAGTTGACTCAAGAAGAAAACATAGGAGAAATCACTTCAAGTATTTATAGACAGATTTGAAACATGGTGGTTTTGGTTTTTTTTTTTGCAACAGCATCGCTATTTACGCTGTTTCTCTTGAAGCTGTTGCTGTGGAATTAAGTCAATTAAAGTGGCAAGTAAAATGGTTGTATTGGAAAAAACCTCTGTAATACACAGTTACTTCAACCCTTGCTTCTAGCTGCAAAGAACACTTCAAAATACATTTTCCTTCCCATTTTGGATGGCCCAAATGTTTTCTGTCTCTAAATTTCTAGCCGTAGGCAATTTTTACAATACGGCAAGAATAAGAACGCAAATATGCACTTTGAGTTGATTTCAATACAGCTTTGGTTAGCCAGCCAGGCAGCAAGACAAAGAATCTTAACCCTAGGCACAACGAGCGTTTAAAGGCATTTCCCCTCAAGTTTCCTCCCCCATGCCTCCCTTGGCCAATTCCATGTCCACCTCCAGAGAAGCCCCCATGCCAGAATCCAGCTTTCGCCGCTGAAGGCAGCATCAGCCCTTGGGCCGCCACGCGACTGTTGCATAGAAAGGACGTGTTTCTTGGTGCAGGACAAAGAGACAGCTCCGTACAGAACGACATGCCAGATTTTTTTACTACCAAAACCCCCAGACAAACAAAAAAACCCCAAGGATGACACACAACGTCAGACACTGATCACTAAATAAGCACCAGAGGCTTTACACTTATTTAATCCGAGGAAGGAAGTCCAAGGTTAGGGTTGGCCTATTTTAGCAGAGTGCCTTGAAAAAGTAGACAACTTTAGGTACACTCTGGCATGACAGGTGTCACCTGAACTCAATGGCTACACCTCTGTTAGCAGACAAAATGGGCCAGAGCCTGCTCTCAGCCCCCAAGGACAACCCACACAGGTCACATCAACAGGGTTGAACTCCATTACTCTCCAAAACCAGGCTGGTGTCCCCCATCACTAACCTCCAAGCTGTGCTTGGGACCTGCCTGGGATCATCCATTGCAGACGGTTGCACCAAACCAGGCAAGACCCCACACCAACAGTTGAGCAGCAAGGGACTCCCACCAGAGTGCCCATGCCCTCACGCTGCTCCATCTGCGAGTCCTATCAAACGCCAAGTGCTGTCTCCTCCTGTTCACATCAGCTGGTAAAAAGTTTGTATCTCGGGGATATTCCCCAGCGCTTTCAGACATTTCCTGATCACAGTGGGAACATTAAAGTTACCCTCCATCGCAAAGTACAATAAACAGTGCAGCATTTTGTAACCTTTCACAGATTAAAGTCTCCAGGTTTTATACCCCATCCTTCTAAAGAAACCACATGGTTCTCTGCTAAAGCCTGAAGGACTCCTCTGCTCCTGCCCCATTTCAAAGGTGCCACCATGCCTTTATTGCCAGGGACTTTCCGTGAGATCGACGCGTTCATGTTGGTCTGCCCTGTTCAAACTGCCTTCTACAGCGCCAAGGATGGTCCTGACCCTCTAACACCACGGCAATGAAGCTCAAGAGGAAAGCAAATAAATGAGATCCCATGGGCATCAGTGCTACCACAGCTTGGCTACTCACACCGTGGTGAAGAGGTTGAGCCACCATACTTCACCTGCCCAGTTTGGTCATCCCTCTCCTTATTTCACCTGAGCAGACGCTTCATCCAGCTTGGGCACCACGGCAGGTGGCTTGACACCGCAGTCATAGAATTCACACTACACAAAGGTTAGGAACACCTAAATCGCTAAAGAAATGGAAAATGAAGATGATGAGCTGCTAAGGGCAAAAGCAAAGGTCAAATGCTAAAATATTATGGATAAAAACAAGTAAGCAGTGCCAAGCCAGAAGAAGACAACTTGAAGGACATCAATAGCAAGTTTACAATTAGGGTTTTTAGCTGTGCTTTTGCACAGAATCTGCTTTTGAAACCATTGCACATTTCTGGGCCTTTCAACAGGCCAGTGGCATTTCGGTCTATGCATACGTGATCTCAATGCAGCACACTCAGGAATGCAAATTCCACCAGGCTGCTTGCCAGAAAAACCATCCCAAGCAGGTAAACAGAGATACCAGAACAGATATCCATCCATAGTCAAACAACACTATTTTTTGGGCAACGTTAATATCCTGGGGGCATTCAAAATATTTAATGTTAATATTACCAAGAGTTCCAGCTCCTTTTTTTTTAAAATCCTAAATTAACAAGCAAAGGAAAATAAACAGATGTACATGACATTTCAAATTTGGCCGTTTCAAATCTGAACACTCTTTTGACATAGTGAGGGTTAAAATGCAATTAACTTCAACTTGCACATGCCCACCAACAAGCACATGCATCTGAGCAGTACTTGGATTTGATTTAGTCTTACTTGCAGCTAAAATATTTTAGGACGCTAATTAAAATGCATCCAGAGAAAGCTATTGATCTGTTGCTAAAAGTCAATACATCAAGAAAAGAGTAGGATTATGAACTCTTGGGGTTTTTTCTATTGGGATATTTTTTGGCTCACTGCTTTCTAGTACCCACATCAATTGGGCTTTGCTCTCTGGTTGGGAGCTGGTGGTTTGCATTATTGCAAGACAAATGATGCATCTTGGCTTCGGTCCGGAGACATGACATGAATTTGCCCGGGCAACAGAAAACTCCATTTGCAAATAAATTCTTTTTAATGAGTCAATATGGTTCAGAAAACAGGCAAAAGCAGCCTCTCAATTTTTGTCCCTCCTCTGTATGTCCTTGTGATGCTCCAGCTTTGTGCCCTACAATGGAAAAAGAGAGATTTTTTGTGATGGTGTCATCCTGGCCAGGGCTCTGCTCAGCAGCAGGTGAAGCTGCTCCAGCATCCCTGGCTCTGACCACCTGAGGATCCCACACAGTTGCTGAGGATGGACACCACAGTGTGTATCCTGAATCCCTGCATTCAGTGCTACAAACGCAGAGGATCTTGAGGTTATTTAGACACATTTCGGAGAGCTCTGCCAAGCACAGGAAATCAGCAATGGACTAGCAAAAGGTAATCCTGTTTCTAGCCTTCTGAGCAGTTAAATATGAAAGGTCTCCAGGGGCAGCCTAATGTCCCCTTCCCATCTCTGTGCTCCTTTTTGACTGCTGCCTAATGTGACATCTATTGCAGTGAGTTTTTGCAGCTGAGCAACTGAATTAGCACATCTTACGATGCTACGGTTCCTCCCACTTCGACCCCCACGTCCTCCTGCATCCACTGCAAACGGGATAGGTGAACTTAAACATCACAAGAACTTCCCAAGGCACGGCCCAAACCCTCCCTCGGCCCCTTCTCACCAGCGCATTACGTGCTGCTTCTGTTCCCACCTCCCTAATGCTGTATTTCAAAGGCATCCTGCAGGAGCACTGTCACCTTCCCACGCAGATCCGACTGCAGGCACAGGATAGCACATCAAGCACATTTTCAGATGATGGTAACAGCAGCAGAGGAAAGAACAAGGGGTTGTCTTTCGCCAGAGCAAGGCTATTGCAAGGGCTGCATGAGCAGGATCTGACCAGAGAAGGGTCTGTGCACTGGACTGCCTTTCCCATGAGAAAGCTGCACGACCACAAGTCATGCTACTCACTCCAGCCACCCGACTACAAAAGCAACTTTTGAAATCTACAGGTCATAAACTTTTAATTGGCCAGGGCAGAGTGGCTCAGTAGGAAAATCCCCCTTCTCCCTCCCCTCTGGGCAATGAGCTGAGCAAGACTCTTGTTTTGAAAAACATTTAACTCTTTTTGCCCAAAATCCCGTGGAAAGTGTACCCATTACAGGTAGTCAGGAAGATACTGTTAATAAAAAATATGCTGCAAGAATAGTGTATTAGTGGCACTTCACAGCAATTCTTAACATTTTCAGATGTAGTGTCAAAATGATGTTTTTGTGTATCTGAACATGCCTCTTGTTAACAGAAACAGAAGAAAGTCACAGCATATTGCCAAATATTACTTGAACACAAATAATCCCGTAAGAAATACATATTTTTTTTTTTTTGCCGTTAACACAAAACTGTAAACTGGATTGGTGTGTGTCTTTCAGCATCAAATTGTTCAGTAATAAATACGACTAAGTCTTGACAGACTACGGAGTAAAAGTTCCCTTAGTGTCCAGTTTTTAGCAGCTGTTGAACGTTCAGGGATGCACAAGGCACACCTCTGCAGATTCTCTAACTTTAGTATTGACATACCAAAAAAAAAAAAAAAAGATCCATCCACCACTCAAAAATGTTTATCTGCATAGTAAGAATTTTTCTACTACTATTTACAGGAAGGGCTTTTAGTGCAAAAAACAGGAAGTGATGTATTAGCTGAAGTGCATCGAGCACATCTCGTACAGTTTCACTAATAACCAGTCGTCAGTATCACATCTTGGGCCGCCAGCCATTAATGAACTGTAGTATTTTCTTCACCTGCAATTTGCTTAGCTTAAAGTCTTCTGACAGGATTTCTTCTGTAAGCTGAACCAGTAGATTGCCATCAATCTTCTCTGTAACAAAAAACGATATGACGTCCTCTGACAGACCAATAAACCTCAGCGATTTAGACACTTCCTCTATCGAGAGTCCAGAAAGGTCCGTAGGTGGCTGCCAGGGAGAGCCATCCCCACAAGATCTTGGTGCTAACTGGAGGTGGAGGGGAGACGAGAAGGGATAAGACACAGAGAACGTATCCTGCATGCCCTTTTTAACGAGAAACTGATCTTCCAAGAGGTCTGGAGAACCAGTTTTAGACTCCTCCTCGGCACCATCTATTTTCAGCGGCAAGGGATTCATGTCTGTAACTGTCTTCTCTTCACTTGGCTTCGGTGCCCGGGGAGGTAAGGCAGGACACGAATGGCTCTGCTTTGCGTTGCTGACTCCCAGAGTTTTCTCATCAGTGCAGTCTAGAGAGTAACTCGCCGACTTTGGACAGCTAGAGATGGTGTTTGTGAACTCTGCTGGGGTGAGCGGGGAGTACCCTGCCGGGAGCTCACACCCATCGAAGTCAAAAGTCAAAGGTGCTGGACAGTTTCTCTTTGGCGTACCTGGAGTCTTCTGTCTGGGGTAACTGTAGCTCCTGCTTGGATCAAGCAGGAAATCACTTCTATTCTGGCCTTCAGCAGTTCCCGAAAAATGGTTTGGCCAAGATAACCTCGAAGGCAGAGCTTCAGTTGAGGGGCTTCCCAAAGGCATCGTGCTCTCAGGCTCTTTGGATTCGGTTTTCACCATGTTACAAGGGTAGCAGGAAACAGGTGTGCTCTCAGTTGGGTTGGTGTTGTCGCTCTCTGTGACATTGCTTAAGGAACAAAGCAGAAATGATGTTGTTAGTAAGAAAAAATGTGGCGTTTGAATAAATTAATAAATCATCTGACAGAGTCAGAGGGTGGCTGTCACAAGGAAAGAATCTTCTTTCCTCTGGCAGAACTTTTCAGATTTGAATTAACAACACGTCTTAATAATGCATTGACAGTTCTTTTACTCCTTCTACAAGCCTGACAAGATGCTGATATACCCAAAAGCCTCACATCTTGGTTTTTCAAGCTTGTAAAAAAGTAGATGTCTCAATTCATCTCCCGAATACTCAGTTTTTCCACTGTCGAATTCCTGAGGGACACTACCATGGAAAAGGAACAGCCTCACATACACTAGAAGTTATTGTAATCCTGTATTTTATGTTTATATACCACAGATATGTCATGGCATGCAAAAGCTTGTGACAGGGGCAGGTCACTATTGCACTATACCCAAGCTTGACTGACATAAGAGATGATCAAAAACCCTTTTCAAGTCAACATTTTCATTTGTTAGGGAACACGCACATGCACAGGATCCATCCCCACCGGTCACCAGTGCAAAAACTGCACCAGTGCACAGTATAATAACAGAGAATAAGTTAATGCTTACTGCCAAAAGAAGAGTTTTACCTGGGAGGGTAAGCAGACCTAGCTGCATGTGTTGAAATATCAGGCTTTAAGCTTACCCCGCAGTAACTAGTTTGTGTGTTCATATCCTTAAAAAGCTAAGACAAGAAACACTTTTCAAAGACACCTGAAGAAAGTTACCCTGACCTATTTCCAGGTGGTAAACTAAGCTCGGTCTGTCTGAGAGAACTGATGGCTTGTATCCAGGTGTTCCTGAGAGACAGAGATGCCAACACAAGCATGTGATCTGTTATCAAAAGCAAATGTTTGCTGCTTCTATGCCACTTCATTTAGAAAGTCTGAAGGACTGGGAATTATAGAATCTGGAATTCTGGCCAATTAAGCCAGAACACTGGAAAAACAATTAGCTGATTTATCAATTCCTCACCTAGCAAAACAGAGGGAAACCAACAGTTGAAATAATTGTTTTAATTACTCACCTCTCTCTTCTGGAAACTAGCTACTCAAGAAAGAAACTAGGTAGTCATTCTGTGACAACTCAGCGAAAACCGCTTGAAGAGGGCAGCAGCTTTCAAAACAACAGCATAATCTTGAATAGATTGACACAAAAAATAGTCCCCCGTGCGCTTACAGTGAGGAAGCCAACCTGGACTTGCCCAGCTCTAACACAGAGAGCAGATGCATAAAACCATAAAGCAGCTCTAACCTATATGACTGAAAATGAGTTATAAAACTAATTTTGTAAGTTATAAAACAGCCCCTAGAAATGCGGTTTCCCCTCTCTGTCTAACTATCCTTCGCTCTCCACTCCATGCCCTCCAAGCTTTTCTTTTTTCCTTTTCATGTCATGAATAAAAGACTGCAAGTTAAAGCAGTTGGATTTTTACAATAGAATTTACAATGCTGAAAGAGTTGGGGTTGTTCAGCCTGGAGAAGAGAAGGCTCTGAGGAGACCTTCTAGTGGCCTTCCAGTACCTGAAGGGGGCCTACAAGAAAGCTGGAGAGGGACTTTTTACAAAAGCATGTAATGATAGGAAAAAGAGGTAATGGTTTCAAACTGGAAGAGGGGAGATTTAGATTAGATATTAGGAAGAAATTCTTTCCTGTGAGGGTGGTGAGACACTGGAACAGGTTGCCCAGGGAAGTTGTGGATGCCCCATCCCTGAAAGTGTTCCAGGACAGGCTGGATGGGGCTTTGAGCAACCTGGTCTGGTGGGAGGTGTCCCTGCCCATGGCAGGGGGGTTGGAATTCAATGGTCTGTAAGGTCCCTTCCAACTACTGTATAATTTTTTTTTTCCTCCTCAACAAGAATACACTGCCAATAGAGGTAATTTCTGGCTGTTTAAAGGGCAACTGCTGTAACGTACGCAGTGCAAAACATTTTTCACAAATCTAGTCATTGTGCTGTTCAATTCAGAGAAGAGAGTCAGTGAGGTGTCGTAAACAATACAGAGGAATTAAGCAGATTGATCCTGCTTCTTTTCTCTAATTCAATATTAGAAATGGGAACATTTAATGATTCAAAAGATTAATGGAATTACTGGAAACTGATAAAGTAACATTTTCAAAGTGCTTCCTTATTTGTTCTCCACCAAAATTAACTCACTGTGACTCAGTGCCAAAGGATGCAAGAGAAACCTCAAATACAGCTGAAGTCAGACATCAGACATTTTTATAGGCAGATAGGGACAAATTGTGTTGGTTTTGTTTGGATTTAAAATATTGGCTGCAACCCTTCATGATCCAGAAAATAAGATCATTGATAAAAATGGGAGGACCTGAAAAGCAACTTCACCAGCTCTCTGGTTACTCCACACATTGCCCATTTTTTAGCAGCTTCCTCTGCAGCATTAGGTCAATTCTACCAAGATGGAGATATCTGGTCTGGACTGAAGCTGGAGTTGAATTTCATGCAAATATTGTGAAGTTCAAGGCAAATAATACCACCTGTATTCCTGAGAAACTTCACTTCTCATTGCTTTCCTGGTTTCTTGGGAGGCAGATGTATTCTTAGCTACAAAGAGAGAAAGCAGCATTTGGTGGGCCTCAAATGCTGGGAGGTCTGGTGCCTCCTGTGGAGTAGACCTTGACAGAACTACCCAACAGGCTTTCATAAAAACAAATGAACAGCCTTGATCTAGAGTGATCATTGCCAGATACACAACACTAAGCTGCAAATGTGCAGTATGGCTTACAAAGGCAATCCCAGCATAAGTTATTATTCCAACTGCATCTAGGCTAAATTATTTCAGTGAGGTTTCAGATGGATTTGTAATATCCAGACAGGTAGTATCTTGTCACTGAATAGATACCAAAAGTAATGGCAACCAGACAATATTAAGTGAAAAAGAAGGTGAGATTTCAAAAGGTGTATACGCTTTCTAAAGCCAATAAAAGAACACTGCATTGCTAGGAAAAGGTTTGCAGCCGCGTAATTCAAAATCTACAGTCAACTTTTGACTAGGCTGAGCGGATTTTCCAGTTTGTGGGCTAGGTTTGTGCTGGAGTGGGTTTGATCTGGAAGCTGTCTGGCCCCTTTCCGCTACACCTCACTTTGCACTCAGTGGTGTCTGCTGGCCTCTCTGTTCTCCATCACACCCACCCCGTAGGTTCCCATAGAGCTGGCACAACACGTTTCTGGATTACCACACCCCTTTTATGCCCCCACTTATCAGCGCTGGACGCACTGCATGCATGTAGCACTGAAATCCCACTCAAAAACTAGCTTTGAGATGTTCTGGTTTGAAGATTCAAGCCTTTCAAGAATTACACAGAACTGTACAGGATTTTCCATTTAGACAGCCTGTCCCACTTTACCGTGAGATTACCTACAGCAATATGTGCAGGCACTTAATATAAATTGCTATGTCCTATCTAGTAAAACATAAGTTTCTGCTGGAGCTTTGCTTCCTCTTGGCTCTTTAAAAATAACTTGACGGGCTCGCCCGTTTCACAAGAAGTCAGCAACTCTGACACAGTACCATGCCTTTATAAACAAGCGCCTTCAAAAGGAACGCGGCTAAATTTAACTTTCTCAAAAAGCGCTAGCACGGGGCTCTGACAGCCCAAACACATACATGTTGTGCAGTCCCGAGGAGTAGTAGGACAGAGTCGGGCTGGGAGAGCGGGTCTGCTGTCGTGCCGGTTTGACTGTTCGAGGAGGGATGGAAGGACTGGTGGAGGATGGCTTCGAACTCCGCGGTGGGACGGGGGGAGCATTCAGGAGCCTGCATTCCTCTTTTACCTGTACAAAAGAAGAACACGTTAAGTAAGCAGCGAGAAAATCTGGGCAACAGCACTCTCAACCAGATGAAACACATCTGGTTCTGCCTTATTCTGTGAAAGGAAATAATTAAAAAGGGAGGAGAAGAGAAAAATGATCCTAAGTATATACATTTGCAACAGTATGTGGCTGTCATGAAGAAGTCCAAAAGAACGCCTTGCTACCAGTAGAGCTACCAACAATCTTTTTTAGGGTGCTTTTCCGTAGTTTGATATCCACTCATTTAAAAAGTAGCAGCAATGAAACAACGTAAAAGAACCTTCCAGTAACATATGAAATCAGACAGGCTGTTCCAGATATTTTACATTTCGTAAGAAGCAATTCATTAGGCTTAAACTTCATTAGTGCTGTTTATTTAGATGTAATAAACCAAGCTTACGTAATGAAAACATATCAACAGACTTTGATGCTTCCTGACTTGCAGTGACACTCAGCCATCCAGCCCTAGGATAATTCCCAATCCTCCTTCCCCAGGGACAGTACATGTATCTTGTATTTACCAGATGCTGGGATTCAGACCTGGAGCTTCAGTCCTTCTATAGCTGCCAAAGCAGTCCAGGGTAAGGTTAACTACATAACCCACAAGTTGAAAGGTGTGGGGCAGAAGAGCCTGTCCAAGTAACGCACCCAGCCAATTAGTCTACTTTTCTGCAGGCAGCCAACTTTTCAGCCTAAAACACGTGCCTGCAGCACTGCTCATCTGACATTTAGTTTGGTCTGCACAGGTAGGAGCAAAATATTAGGATCCACCCCCACAGAAAGAAAACTATGGAATTAAGACCTTAATCTCATCACTACATTCAGGGAGGGACTCTATCAGGGAGTGTAATGATAGGATGAGGGGTAACAGTTGTTAACTGGAAGAGGAGAGATTTAGATTAGATATTAGGAAGAAATTCTTTACTGTGAGGGTGGTGAGACACTGGAATGGGTTGCCCAGAGAAGTTGTGGATGTCCCATCCCTGGAAGTGTTCAAGACCAGGCTGGATGGCGCTTTGAGCAACCTGCTCTAGTGGGAGGTGTCCCTGCCCATGGCAGGGGGGTTGGAACTAGATGATCTTTAAGGTCCCTTCCAACCCCAACCACTCTATGATATTTGGGAGAGCAACTTCATTTAGCAGGGCTAGAGGTGAGCAAGGCTACTGAGAATGAGGCTGCCAGGCAGGACTTCTAAGGACTCAGCACCTTTCCCTGGGCAGGAGAAGACCTCTATGTTCTCCTTGTCTGAAACAGTCTCAGATGCACCAGAAAAGGGAAATGCTCTTTGTGTTTGAAAGTTACAGCTTATTTTTAAATTTAACAACACTGCAGAACTAAAAGTTATCTTAGCAGTTCTGCAACACATAATTAGCAACTGAAGTGATTTAATTTATTTAAAAACAAAATAAATTTGGAACCTTTTGCAATCCACTTCAGTGCTTTCAAAATGCAACAACCCATTTAGTACTTTTGTGAAATGGAAAACTGGGGACTAGGACATTGTAGTACATTTTTTCCCTAATTCAAAACAAGTCAAAATTACAGGAAATGCCCGACAGCATAAAACACTGAAATAAATCTTGCTCTAAGGGTTCTTATTTGCTCTTTCAAGAAAAAAAGAAAAAAAGAAAAAAAGAAAAGAATCAATTTTATTCATGTTTGTTATTGAATTCAGGCATAAAACCCTTCAACCATTTCAGTGCTCTGCACCAAGGATGCCTACGGACTTCATTTTTTTTTCTTTTTTCCCCAAGTCAGACCAGGCAAAGTTAGTACTGCAGGGCACTGAATATACACCCACGGGGTTAGAGAGACCGCTCAGGGGAGCTCTTGGAGCACAGCAGACGGTCAAGGGGTTAAAGGGATTCTTTCCTGGGAAGACTGCTGGCATCCGAAGGTGCTGGCACAACAAACTATGCCAAGCTCCCTCGCTGACCTAGATTGCAGACCAGAGCAAGGCCATAAATAATACGGGTTTGCAGTCCCAGTTGGTCCCTTGTCACAAGGCCGCGATTCCAGCTGCCAGACGCGGCCCTCAGGAAACCCAGCAGAGGAGTCAAAAAGGAGAGATCTTGCAGCTCGAACTGAGAAGAGCAAGGGGACACCCTTCAGAGGAGAGCCACCCTTGCTAGCTCCCAGCCAACAGCCATGAAATCCACGGGGGAGAGTGGGGGGAACAGCCACGACGTCTGCCACAGCTGCTGCTGCTACAAGGAAATGCTCTTTTCCCCAGAAGCACTAGATGCCAAGCAGCTGCCAGACATGGACAAAGTGCATTTGCACTGCACCTTGGAGCCGTCCCACGCCCCAGCTCTCCTTCCCGGGACCCGGCCACAGCCACCCCTTTCCGATGGCATGGGGTGGATTTTAAGACCTCTGCTCCTTGGTTGCCAGCTCCAACCCCGCCACCACCACCCACCCCGGGGATGTCCCTCCTGAATCTGGGCATCGCAGGTGCCCATCATGGTGACTTGCTCCTGAGGCCACCTGGATGACAAACAGCACGACTGTGGAGCCGTTCAAGGCTCCTTGCCGACGGGAGCCTGAACTGCCGGCACACTCCATGGGGGATGTGCTTTAAATCAATCAGGAAAACAGCCTCTGATTTTATGCAAATTAACGTTCGGGGACTGAAGCAATTTCTGATTTACGGGCCTGAATCCAGAGGTCACCTCCCCCTCCCCCTCGCCTTCTGCCATCACGCTACTTTGATTTTCTGAAAGGTTATTTAGAAAATAAGCATTATATATCTGAATGCTCCATCCTCCCGGTGAGAAGAAAACCAGAACGGCTTCTGAAACACCCGAATGTCCTTGTCTCCCTCCTGCAACCAGCTCCTGCACACACATTTTAAATTTAGTGCATGCAAAAATACAATCGCCAGCCAACCTTTGTAGAGAACCGCTATGGAATAGCATTCTAGAGGGAGTGATGACTAAACCGCATGTTCATCAGCAGCTCCTGAGATCTACTTATTCTATAAATACCCTACATGGAAACCATGCAAACATCGCCTTGGCCCCAGCCCACTGATGAATTCAGTAGATCACTGATACTCATTCCAAAGCTGTTCCAGGAAGCCACATAACCCAGCCTAAATTACTATCATCTACAGAGATGCAGGGTTTTTTATTTTGTTTTATTTCTTATGGGGTTACACCCCCAGCCCACCTCTAAATGCAAGCTGATATTTTTAGCAGAAATTAGTTCTCCTGCAATACCAAAATTGCTGACAGCACTCACACATTACCTCAGTAATGTAAGACACACACGACAAAACGGCACGCTTTTCAAAGTGACCTTAAAAGGCAACACATGTAGGTATCCCAAAGGCCACCCTGCCACCACCAGAAGGCAGTCACTACGCCACATGGGTTCCCCAAGTGTGAGGGTCCACACCGATGCTGTGCAGGTGCTCCACAGCTCTCCTAGCATCCCGACACCCACGTCACAGGCATGAGATGAGACACCCACGTCTCTGGTGTGACCCGGGGGACCATCAGCCCCCTGCCAGGAGGGCAGCCCTTACCCCCCCAACCAGGGCAGCCTTCCTCCCCCACCGCCCCGGCGCTGGCTCCAGTGCTCCTTTGACCCCACGCTGAAGCAGTTCAGCTCACAGAAATCAGCAGGAAACTAATCATTTTCCAGATCCAGACCTGGCCGCCTGCCCAGGAGCAGGAGTGCCAGAGCCAGCACAAAAGAGGAGCCAGGACCATGTGGCTGGGAAAGGAGGAGGAGGAGGAGGGAGGGAGGGACCAGCCCGCATTGGTTTACATCAGCGTAGTCTGCCAGGGAACCTCATCCTGATACGGTGCTGCTGGGCACTTGTCCAGAGGAGTCTGGACAACGTGTCAGAGCGTACCTGACCTCGGAGGCAAGGAAGTGCTCTCGGGTTCCCGCACTTAGACATTACACATAAACACTCTCCGCTAAGAAGACGTAATGTCTTGACTTTCCTGTCTTTGCTGAAGCTGCTGCGGCCGCTTTTTTGGGAGAAGTTCTGGTGGCACGGTCCAAGGCTGTGGTTGTGTGTTTCATGCCCGCACTGATGTTCTCCTCCCCTCTCCTCGTTCCACCTCCCCAGCAGCCGTGGAGCCAAGCCAGGGGGATCCCCACAGCGACCCACTGCAGGCTAAGGCTAACCCAGCACAAATAAACACAATTTAGCTTTCAACCAGACTGTGACCTGGCTCATGATGGGAAGGCTGCGGCCAACGCTGCTGGACTGTAGGATGGGAATAGAAAAGGGATGGGATCACCATGGTTTGCAGCAGTTGGGTCTCAGGTTAGCCTCAGCTTGCTGTGCAGCCACGCTCTTGAAAATAGCGTAGGACTTGCAAATGGAACAGTATTTTATTTATTTAAATTCCAGCAAAAACTCTGCAAAACTAATTTGTTAAATTATAATATCTGTCAAGATTAATGCGACATAAGTATGTAGCACTTAAATTTTGCCAGAGATTCCTAGACACTCTTTCCTGGGGGAAGTTTTCTTTTTTCCCTGGTGTTTTTTAAAAAATAATGTTCAAGACTCTGTCAAGAGACCACATAATGGTTGTATTTTCCACTCAGTCCACATAAGCTCCTGTTGATAAAACACTGTATTTTTGCCTCTGAAGCCTCCATGACATTTCGGGTTTGGAGAAATGATTTCTCCCATGAGTTCTCATTAGAAACCCTAGGACAGGAAACATGCTATGTTTAAAATTGAGACCTCTAGAAGGCTCATTTATCAACTCTGCAGAGTTCCTATTTAAACATGTTTTCTTTCAATAAGCAGCACAGAGTGATTAGTTCAGGTCTAGTTTGATAAAGTTTCCTTGAGGTCAATGACACTTAATATTCTTCAGAATCTGCCATAGATTCGTAACCAAGAAGAAAATCTCTCATTAACAAACACTTGAATTCCATAAAAATTCTAGCTGTCTTCATTAACAGGGCCTGCTAATTGAAGATGCACACACTAGGGTGATCCAAGGCAGCTCCAAGTAGGGTCATGCCACAGAATGGGGTCACAGAAAATACGAGAAAACATGGAGACCACGTGGAGAGATGATGTGGAAAGCAAGGGAAGGAAGGGACCTAGCAATTGTTAGACCTTGTTTGTGGGAGCAAAAAACCCCAATAAAACCACCTGAAAGTATCAGGATTAAGCTAGTAGATCAGTTATATTAAATGTGCTCTGGTGATATGACTTAGGATACAACTTACACTTGGTAGGAAACTTGTCAAAGTTGCGCATCTCACAAAGTCTCACTCTTTCCTTGCCTTTTTTCCCCCTCAACCTGCCAAAAGTCTTTCCTAAATGAATCCCAAAGCAACCCCTGTATCACCAAAAAAAAAAAAAAAAGCAACAAACCAACATAAATAACCCTGACTTACTGCTTCTGATTTGGGAGGCACTGGAGGTGGAGGTAGGGAAACATCTGAAGACTTTGTGGTTGCTCCGACAGTCGCAGGCACAGGAAGAGGTGCGGTACCACACTTTGATCGGAAAGACCCTCTGTAGTTGTCACATTTGTTCTTCTCACTTAGCGAGCGAGTGAGAGGCTGGTCACCAGCCTTTCCAGACCCTTGGTCCAACCACAGCTCTTCGTAAGGAAGCTCTGGTTTTGTAGGCAGAAACATCGACTCTTCGCCAACTTCAGGAAAAAGGTAATCACTGCTGCTGTCGCCAGACTCCTGGTACTGAAGGGCGTCGTGAGAGAAGAGGGCCCACTCGTTACACAAGTCCCTGCAGCCGTGGAGATTGACTTCACTGTTCCCGTGCAAGTTGTTTCCATAGACGCACACCGAGAGGCGGTGGAAGGACTGAGTGAGCTCGTCCCGGGCGTAGCTGAGGGAGTTGGGCACGTGGCTGTGCCCCGTGCACCGGCTCTTCTTGGGGCTCTTGCAGTCTTCGTTCCAGTCAGTTTTCACATCTCGCACGGCACGGGAATACTCATCTATGTCAAACTGCTCCTGGCATATATTAAACCAGTGCTGGATGAGGGATTCGTGCCACAGCTCCCCCTTCACCAGACTGTCGGGTAGAGTGAATTTCGGAAGGGTCAAGTGCAAAGGAAAATGCATGGGAATAATTTTGTTGCCACGAAGCACGCAGCACACCACCACGGTCTTGGTTTGAATGTTGACGAACTTGTACCGGTGCCCTTCGCGGATAAAATGGAGGTCATAAGGGTTTCTTGGTGTAGGACTCGGCACAGTCACGTTAACGGGCAGCCTGGTTTTTTCTACTATATTGCGAATCGTGTGCTCACCTTCTTGCATCTGCACCTCCAGCGGGCTGCGGGTGCTGAACTTGCCCTTACACTGGAAAGGGAGGCTGATGCTTTCGTTGGTCCTGTGGTTCATGCAGATGAGGCAGGGCATTTTGCCTCTGCCTAGCTTACTAATTGAGTTAAGTTTCCCAATTTTTTTGAAGATGGTGTTCAGTCGTGACTTCTCCTTAGAAGATTTTGCATAAAGGATTTCTGCTTGCCCCATTAAAGTGAGCTCATCCCCAGTACTAAGGGTAATGTTGTAAACCTCAGTGTCTTCATTGCATTCACCTGAAGCCACCTGCAAAATAATAATAAAAAAAAAATTAGAGTTTCGCCCACTGAAGGTAATACTTCAAATCGTATCAAATCTATCAATACTGTACTGACAAGACTATACATTGGGAGAAACTAAACTAACTTTATTTGAACAGCTAAGTAGTCAAGTGCAAGGTGTGTAACCTGAAGCTTGGCCAAGTAACCTTTCTTTATTGTTCTGCACATTCCTGCATCTTACTCAAGGGGAAACAGCCACTTGAAACTGCCAAAGAAGGCAAAAAGAATAAATATAACCAGTTTTTAGAGAAAGGACAAATCCACGTATCCCAGCAATTCAAATAGCTACTTGTGTCATGCAGCTACGACAGAGCATGTCTGGACTCCCCTGGGCATCTTTTTCCCACCCCTTTGTTTTTTGCTGTTTGCTAGAACTTATTTGCCAGGCTCTTGAGGGGAACAAACTTCTTTCACCATCTTTGGCTCCCTGAGGAGCAGACAAGGTGATCTCATCATTATGGATGAAGCATATCCCTTTGATATAATGTCTTCCAGGCTAGGGGGAATGACAGATGACATCTATTCCCTGAAGGAGAAGTCAACAGTATCGGTCTATCCCATATGCCGAACTCCCCCTCTGCCTTGCTCTCCTAGTCATAGACTTCCTTCCTCATTTTTTGATCATAATTGCAATTAAGAGATTAAACAACATGTGCACAGCCATGTGTGTGCTTTTCTTGTATGGAAATTGTACTGGAAATAAAAAAAAAAAAAGGAAAAACAGATGTCCAAGGCTCATTTGTTCCTGAAGTTATTTCCTTAAGACTGGAATAACTCCTTATAGACAAGATTGCTCTGGTTTGTAATTGAGTGGTTTAACTTGAAAAGCCCTTTTCTGGTACCTAACAGGAATCCACCCAGCTCTTCATCATCATCATCAGATACCTACTCATAAAGGAAGGTGTATCAGATAAATGCTGTTGACCTGTATAGACCATTTTATTCAGAAATGGAAACATACACTAAAATAGTAAATCCCTTCCTCACCTCCACAACCCCTAAAGACTTCAACAGAGCCATGTGAGGTTCAAATTCCGGGCTTCAAATTCAGGTGTCATCACAGAATAGCCATTGCACGAAATCAAAGCTGTAATTCCAATCAGTTAATAACCGACAAGCGCCGTGAGTAACGCTTCCTCTTCTAAGACGTGATCTGCAGTTCACCCCTGTTTGTAGAGCTGAGATTATCTCCCACAAGCCTTTCAGAGCTCAGCCGAGGTGTGCCGCCTTCGCACTTCAGTCCTGGGGCTTCCGGAGAGGAAGTCATTCGAGCCCTGAATTATCTAAACAAACACTAACTGGTCTAATCCAGGAAACTACGAGGTTTTATGGTACGTAACACTCACAGTTCACACCACTGGCCAAACAGCGTTTTTGAAACCGTGACGTGAAAGGGAAGGACTCGGGTTTTTTTGCTGATAACACTGGTGGGATGCTCATTGGTGGTTTCTCCTCAAAACCTGCCCGGAGCTGCATCTGGCCACGTAGCCCTGCCTTCAGTGGGACTGGTAGGGGCTGAGGACACACAGAGCTCTGTGCATGTACTGCTCCATCCCCCTCTCCTCTTTTTGAAAGGGCACATTCTGTAAGAATATCGGTTTCTAGCATCGACAAGTCCCCACAAGTGGCTTCTTTGGACAACGTGAGCTGCAGAGTCAGAAATTTTAACTCGAGACAGCACGGTTACAGCTTTTTCTCGCTTCCTGCGGGGGACACGGGCCGGAGCGAGGGAGGTGTCACAGGCCACGGCTGTGGGAGCTGCTGCTCGGCCAACTCGCAGTTCCCTGGTGATTCACAAACAAACACACACGCCACTGTAGAAGGAAACGGTGGCTCAGATGTGAAACCACAGAGGTAACTAACTGGCCGAGCTTCACAACGAAGGTCTCACAAAGCAGCTGCTTATTAACGGCCCCCATTTCCACCAGCCAAATCACAAATGGACTTTTAGGTTCGACAGGCACGTTTAAAGACAAAATTATTCTCAATTACCAAATTTTGAACATAAATATAAGGTATCAGCTGCTGTCCAAATTCTGATCTCCCCTCAGCCCTCTCAATGCTGAATAAACCCAGTTCTCCCTGCCCCTCCTAACATTTGATTTGTTGCAGCCCCTGACCATCTTGGTATACTGGACTCACTCCCACATGTCAATGTCTTCCTTGCATTAGCGTACTACTGGAAAAAAGCCCTTTCCAAAACTGGCAGGAATACTCCAGCTGAAGGATCATGACTACCGAATGATGGAGAATCAACCTACTGGCTACAGTCTTGCATATCCAAGAGTGATGAAGAATTCTCCAAGAATGATGGAGAACCTCAACCTACTGGCTACTCCCTTGCAGCCCAATATGCTGTTGACTGCCTTTGCCACACCACCACTGCCATCCACCAGGTACCCTTCAGACTTTTTCTCCAGAGCTACTTTCTAGCCTGTCAGGGTGCATGCCAGGTGCTGGGCTTTGCACTTGCCTTTAGTGACCTTCACAGGGCTCCCATCAGCCCAGGAATCAGTCAAGCACAGCAGCTCCTTCGAACAGATTTGATTCATGCCAAATAAGACCCTTAAAGACAGCACGATCTGGAGGAAAGTGCATATCATAAATTACTCCCAAAAGGCAGAATGGGTAACACCACACCGGACTCAGCTCCCTCTGCCCTCTAAGCTTCCAGCACTGACCCAACAGGATTTGCACCTTCGGGCACCATGTTCCTCCACATCCCCGCTGAGAACCTGCCCCGTGCACCCTCTGCTTCCTGCAGTCACTGGAGGGGTGTAGCACACCCCTACACTATTTTAGGTGCTCAGACTTGCCCATGCAGGTGACATGGCATACCACTGGTGTACGACAGAGAGAAGACAGCAGCCCACTATCTTGCAGCAGCAGAGTTAAGATAGTCCAGAACACAGACTGACACAGAAATAATCATATATTCTTGTGACAAACTGTTAGAATGTCCTCATAATTTTGGAAAACAGGTAATGCTACAGAAGGCAGAAAGCACCCCAGAAGCCTTCATTCAGCTGTGTAACATACCTGGGAGGGCTGACTCCAATCCCAGTCTGGCTCCACTCTGCCCAACGCTTGCAGCTCACTTCCCTCCTCCTGCTTTGCCTGCACTTGAGGAGGCTCTTGCCTCCTTTGGGGCTTCTCCCAGGTTTGCTTTTGAACCTTCACGTGCAAAGAACTTAAAACTGGTAGGAAGCTGAGACCAGCTGGAGGAATGGGGGTAAGGAAGGTAGGACACTGCATTTTCCTCAAATATCTCCACAGTAGGACTGCACCCTCATGTTTTAATTTTTTTTTTTTTTTGCGTGTGTGCCCCCTCCTCACATCTATTTTAAACAGGAATTCTTTACTGGACAATTCCAGTGCAACAATGTGCAGCAGTAACCACCATACCTCCAGCTGCTGTCCTTACCTGATACACACACAGTCTGCTCCAGTTTTTAAACGATTAGCCTTGGGAGCATCCCGAAATAACTCCTTCCCCAAACACATTTATCGTCATGGTTGCTCTCTCTGCTTTATACATTATAACAACGATGCTTTATGCATTAGGCAATGACTCTTGCAGTTTTACTTCCCCCTTGCTCCTCTTTTGCCCTTCCCTGCCAGTTTTGACTTTCTGGTAATAGGTGAGAACAACAATCGGTGCTCCCAGCTCTGTGGAAGAGGCAGTTCTTGCCACACTATATTCCAAAACCATCTAAAAATCACTAGTAGATGTTGAAACTGAACAGCTCCTAACACAGAGGACCCACAGAACCAGAACCTACTCCATACTGTACTTGCCCTTCACCTCCCTAATGCTAGATGTTGATCCACATTAACCGTTCACTACTGATGCCAGGATGCTGACCAGAAGGGTTACTGGCTTACAGAGATGTCCCAAAACAGCAGTGGGTTAACACACTGTAATGTATTAAATTTTTAGACTCCTGCAACTCAGTAACATTCAGAAGCCAATTATACCTACTGCAGAAGACAGGCATCAGGAAAGTGATGAATGATTATTTAGGAAACTTGTTCTTTTGGGAAAGCTCAAGTATATTGTTTCTTTTGCTTAAGGAAAGGTTAACTCAGACAAATAGATTTTGATGTATCACCTCAGTCAATATCCCATCTTGGACTCCAATTGTTCCAATTTGTTATAGCTTGATGTAGAAGTCTTTAATCACTTGGACAACATGTGAACTCCTTATAAAAATGATTTGTGGCTTTATAGCATTGCATTCACTTTAACAATACACAGTTAGGATATTTCTTTTTTGGTAGAGCTCTTTTTAACTGTGAGGTCTGTGACCCATAGCTACTTAATACATTTTTTACTATTAAAGCCAAGGGACTAATCATAGCACTACATATATATATACTATATATGATAATTTTCTTTTTTACAGGTCACAAAAAACGGATAAAGATTTTTAAGATATAAACCAAAGAGTCTTCAGGAGAGCTATTAGCAGAAAAAAATAAGCAAATTTTTTCAAGGAAGTTGACCAAATTCAGTGAGACACCATCCTATTTTCTTTTATAAACATCTATCTCTCAAGTATCAGCAGGTAAAACTCTTCATGTTATTACGCACGCATTTCCCTCTCAGCTGAGAGAGACTTTGCCCCGATTGCTACATTAAAAGTTGACTTCAGTGCTGTTTAATAATGCCTCACATAAATCAAAGTGTTCCAAAAATGACCCAAAACAGGTAATGCCACAGATATTTAACATGAAACATCTCTTCACACGGGATGTCAGGAAGGCTCATGAGGCCACTGCACTGCAACGGTGCTCACTATCCTGGATTCTTCTGGAGTAATTCCCTCCAGGCAGGTATAGGGATGTAGGCATGAAGCAGCCGGTCTAAGGTTCCTTCTCACTGATGCCATGCCCAGAGGCTGGAGGAGAGAGGCAGCCACAGCGCTGCGCTGCCATTGCAAGACCCCAAGGTGCCACAGCCTGGGTATACCAGGAACAGATGGAGAAGAAAACAAGAAAAACCTTCTGAGAGCCGAGGCTTGCAGCCTCATAAGTCTGGCATCAAGGCACAAGGCAATGTGGGGACTAAACCACTAATTCTCAAGGTGGAGTACTATAAATTGCCAACAAGTTTGATTTCCAGAAAGTCGCTATTGCAGCATTTAAAAATGCCAGTGTAGGTTACAACCTTCTATGTCTGTGCACTTTGGAAACTCGGGGCAAGTTTATCAGAGCCTATAGAACTGCAGTCAAATCAGGAGATCAATTTTGCTTCACTGTACTGCATTAACATTTGCCAAAACAAAAAAAAAAAAAAAAAAGTGCAAAGTTTTCACCGTAGATTTATTTCTGCCAAAATGCACACTGTATGAGCCAACAGAGTTAAACCACGGTTAAAAGGGGATTACAATAAAAAAAACAACAAACAAATCTGGTATCAAAAGCTCACAGCAGCCAAACAATGTTTTTGATAGGAAAGATAAGAATCCTTATAAGGCTAATTAACTAACCCACCTCTCTGTCCTGGAAAGGCTCTGCAAACAGATTCACAGCCTCTCCAGGCTCTCTGCAAGTGATATCTGCAGGACAAAAATTATATCCCGGAATATTTGAAGGGTCCTGCAACACTAAGGGGGCTGTTTTTTACAGTGCAGGAATTCATGGCTTGTCCAACGTTAATCTATCAGACAATACTGCTGCTTTTTATAACTTTTTGGGAATTGTCCTTCGTATGATGTGGGGGTTTTGTTTCTAAGTCTTGATGCAAATAGCTTCCTAGGTATTTGTACAGACCACCATCTGTATGGGACCAGAGCATCCGACTGCAGAAATCTACTGCTGTCGGTTCAGCAAAAGCTAGGGCCCTGGGGTACCTTAATATTTTCTTAATATTTTTCTTCCTAACAGAGAATTAAAAAATCCTCATCTTTGTAGCGTAATGCTGTTACCAAAGCAAAATTCTCTGCAATTGTGCGCTGAATATTAATGCTAAAAAGGATTATCACCTATCTGATCAGTGAAGAAAATAGATTAAATACCTACTGACTGAGTGAAATTAGTTTATCCCCAGAACAGTCTAAATTGTTGTGCCTGTAGATGCTGCTGGCCACCAGAGGTACCCCAGGCAACTGACTGGGCACACAAGCACAGTACTGATACATACGTACGTCCAAAGAAACTACCAGGAGTAGTTTTAGCCATTACAAAGGTTTGGTTTAATCTAAAATTTTTATATGCTACTCTGTGAATAGTGACTCCACCTTCCACTCCCAGCTCTGCTTGATGGCACGTGTCACAGACCTCCTTCAAATATCTGGCAGGTCCCAATCCCCTGCCTCAGCTCAGAAAGCCTGCCTAGTCTCAAATCCCTGAGGAGGGAGGGAGAGAGGGAAGGAGGAAAGTCCATCTCCCCTGCCTCTCCCAGGATAAGGTGGCTCATTTTTAACAATTAGTACATGAAGTAAAAATAAAGCAACTTCCCCCCCTGGAGAAGACCCCACGGCCTATGACAGCCAGAAGGCAGTTCTCTGAACGGCAGCGCTAGCTCTAAAATCCTGCCGGAGCAGTGAAAGGATTTACACGGAGGAGCAAGGTTTGTCCCAAGTTGAACCATAACCGTGGCGTATCAGCACACGCAGGCAGACCTCAAACAAGCACAGACAAAGCCACGCTGTGACCGTCTGGTGCAACCCTACAGCCTCTTTCTTCAAAAATTATCCATGAAAGACTGGAGTGTTTGGAATAAGAAAGAATTCCCAGACTTCAGCGTCCCTCCTCATCTTAAATGCTTCATCAGATAGATAGGCTTTTTTTTTTTTTTTTTTTAATATCGGATTAGCTACCTTCTGATACTTTCTTCTGAATTTAAATGAGCACAAAGCATCAGAAATCAACCACACTTGGTATTCCTCCCTTTGCTCTAATCAGTTTGACAGGATCTCCCCTATATTAAAATTTTAGCCTACATAATTCTCTTGCATGCAAAGGGTTATTAAACACTTTAATAAATCCTGTTAAGTTCATTTATTTTTTGGAAGATGATAACCTTGGAATAGACTTCTACGAAACTGGAAAAACTGCCAAGGAAGTACTGCCAAGATAACTATGTAACTAGGTTAAACCTGGATTATTATTTCTGTTATTTACATTAAGGAGTATCACTATAATATCTTTTAAAAATTGATTTTATATCTAACAGTAAGCTATGCTTAATTCTCAGTTTGCTAAATATGACAAAGAGTTTTAAGAAAACTCACATTAAACTCGAGACACAACATTTCACATTTAAACAAGCCTGCACATGAATATTTTTCTCCCTATAAAATCAAAGCTGCACATTTTACTCTGCCACTCTCTTGATTTGGTTATTGATCAAGTGAAAAGTAACAGCACAGCACTGGATAAGGCTAGCAGTCCCAAGGTAAGACTGACATTCCTGGGCAGAAATGGAATTTTCTTGTTGCCTTGATTTGCCCAACTACACCTGGAATATACAAAAGTGTTCCAACTTTCTCATATAGCCTTCATTCATGAAAGGCTCTGTTTTAGGGGCTCAGATTAATGGAGAGCAGAATTGAAAATAACCTACTGTCTTGAAAGGCATGAGTCTGTGTCACTAAATGAATTAAATGATGAGCTCTGGGAATTATAGCTGTCTTCAACCATCTTGTTTCACACCTATAAAAACTGCGGACTAGCTGGTGTCCCCCAAGTCTAGCAGTGCAAGAAAGAGAAAAAGCCATTAACAGGTGGTTATAAAAACCCCACGTCACTACACACGGGAGCAGGAAACTCTATCTTGGTTTTGCAGCAGCAGGATCAACCGGTTTCCCCTGTCGGGCACACGATGGATCTGTGCCATTGCATCCCAAACTCTAGGATGCTCTTGAACCAGTCTTAGGTGGTTGTAAACCAGAGGAACTTGAGGACCACTCTGCTCTGTTGGCAGAGCTGACCTACCTTGTGTAGTGTCACGCACAGAGCTAGGACATACAGGCAGGACAAGGAAGAACAAGTTCTGTCTTCATTGTGTCACGCCACCGCGCTGCAGTGTGTCTGGTGACAGTAAGCCCTCTTAACACTCATGGGATTGCTGACCCTTTGATGAGCCCAAGAGACATTCACATGCACACAAACACGCACACACGCACACAGAACAAGTGTGTCCTTTGTTTTTTTGTTTGCTTTTTTTTTTTGTTTTACTTACAGTGCTATTTAGCTGCAGTAATTTTGAGACAAGCAACCCCATCATTTCACCCCGTGTGCTCTCTGAGAGTAAGTCTTTCTGGACAGAGATTTGAGCAGCTGCTGCTCAGCAGAGAATAAAATTCAGAGTGCTGGAGGGGGGAGGGGAGAGGGGGCAACAAACAACATTTGTTTAAAATCTGGCAGGAGCATCCTAATTAGATGAATTATTGGATGGATCATCAGGACTGCTCCCCAAAGTGCCATAGGACAGAAGAGCCCTTAGAGGACACATTGATTTAAGACTGCAAAAATGATCCCAAAGAGCACCATCACTGAATGCAGAGCACTAAAGGCTCGCTTGTCTCAAAAATCACACTTCCCACACAGCGCCGTTGCTCACTTGCCATGTATATAAAGGTTGTAACAGTTAATCATTTAGACAGGGATAAATATTTATTCAGGGACTACCTTAACGTTGAACGTTATTTCCTCCATGACGTAAACTCGTTCAGGAAATGCTTTAGCCACCTCCTCCACACTGTTAAAATACTGCACTGGCTCCTTAATATCTCGGTCTTGTTCCAGCAGCTTAAACTGCCCTGAAAACAGATGATAAACAGAAGAGTTGTAAGATATTTATATTGGACAACTGTCACTGTGGCAACTGCTGGCTCAACTTCTTCACCATTTCGCTCGGTCAATTTTTCCGGTTATTAGCAGCCAAACAAGAAGACGAAGAGATTGCAGTGAGTCTCCCAAACCTGCTGTGAGAGACACCCAGCTTCACCAGGTCGGAACGAAAAGAACGTGTGGGAGCTGATGTTAAATTAAAAAAGATCCTTTTACCACGTGCTCTCTAGAAATAGTAAGTAACTCTGGAGGCATTTGTGTTTGTGTACTTAATTTGGTCTAACAGTAGCTGTACAGATAGCATTTGTTGGCCCTTAATATTAAAAGCTTTACAGGAAGAAAACACAGCCATTACTATAAAACTCCAAAACAATAAACTTAAGGGGTTTGTTTCTGTTTTTAGCATCATCAAAGAGATATTAAAAAATGCTGGGCTAAACCCCTTTTACCCCCAGGCTTCCCTCGGAGCAGAATGGCACCTAACTTTCCATAAACTAAGCCCTTTGAGAACTTTAGGTAACATAAGAAACCAAACCATACACATTTAAAAACCTTTTGAAGGTGGTGGCCTCTAGAAGAGCATCAGAAAGAAGTTTTTCTTGCTGACTTTACCTCCCCCCAGCACAAAAACCTTGGCTATTTTCTAAGTTTTGTAAAAGGCAAGAACTAAATCCGGGGCAAACCTGCCAGGGACTGCCAGGCACATCAATCACCTCTGCGCACTGCAAACACGAAGTTTAAAGGCTTTCTTTTATAAATACAGAGACAACGAAAGCTTAGACAGACACATTTGCTGTTTGTATGACTTAAACTTAAAATCAGTGGAGCGATCTTCCCAAATTTAGAAACATTAACTACTACTAAGGTAAATGCTGACCTCAGCAAGAGAATAGCACAGCGAGACTCGATGTAAGAAACAACTCAAGAAAATGAGTAAAAGGCTGCATAAAATCAATGGTTAGTGCATCTCCTGTAAATCATATTTTAAAATTAGCAATGCATGAAGCCACTGGATTATTGTTTCCAAACAATGCTCAGCTTCATTAAAATTCATCCAATACATCAGGATGTCAGCCTCCTACAGAAATATTTTCTCACTCCTTCAGCATTTTTGTGCACAACACCCTGCTGCCCCTCTACATCCCATTAGACTTGAGACTTTTGTGACACGTTTGGAGAATTCGCCCACACTAAACTATTTCAGGCCACCTCCCAGCAAAGGAAGAAACAAACGCAAGCTCAGCAAGTCCTGCCGCCCCATGAGAATGACCTGTCCCACCATCCTGCCAGGTGCTTGCACACACGTGTACATGCACACCAAGAGGGGTGTGAGACCGAGAGGCTCAGCTTCTCCACCCAACCCCAGCACCCTGCTGATGGAGGCACACTCTTCTGGCCGGTATGCTCGAGTGGTTGTAAGCCTAAATATCAACTTACAAGACAGAAGATGTCCCTTTATTGCCTTCCACATATGTTGTCTTTCTAAACTGATCACAGTAACTTTGAAGTATAATCATCAGGGTAACTAAAGATGCCGGTACTTCCCACCACAAGACCATGTTTTTGCAACTGTTTAATAAACTCCACCACACTTAAAAATCAGTTCCCTTGGAGCTTTTCCTAACACTTTGTCTGTTTCAGTATGCACTCTTATTTGAAGTTCAGCCAAGGCAATTCAAGTGCTTCAAGGACCAACACTAGGGTAGAAGCAGCAGGACCTTTGGTCTGACCTGGAGAAGCCATTCCTGTGGTATACTAGGTCAGACCAGAGGTCTGTCTCGTGCAGGATTCTGCCTTAGACAGGAGTCAGCAACAGCTGTATAAGGAGGACTTCAAGCACAACTAGCAATACCCCTCAGAGTCTCCTCCACTCCTCTAAGAGGAACTCAAGGATGCCCAGAGCAGGGAAGAGGTATCTTTGGGCTTAGTATCTCTAAAGGTCATCTTCCCTGTAAATTTGTTTAAATGCTTACTGAAGGTATCTAAAAATTTCATTGTAGGCATATCCTCTATCTTGAAAAATTCTGGAAACATCTTCTTCAACATTTGGAAAACCCCTTCATGCGCTCAATAGAAATGTGCCAGCGTCCAGAAGCTGAATTCCTCAACCTGTCTGTTCCAAGCCCCTTTCCATGCAAAGCCACAGAGGGGCCAGGCAGCCGGCACCTCTGGACAATAAGCAAGGAGGTGCTCAGTTAGACAAAGCTGGAAAGCATGTTCTGACTGAAGCCTGAGTTGCAGATAAGGAAAGATGAAGAGAGAAGCACTGTGTTTTTTAATCCCAAATCCACCATATAGATCATTTAAGTCCAGGTATCAGGATTTCCCTGTCAGCCACCAAGAGGAAGATGCGTCCCCCAGCTCCACAGGTCCTTCCCCCTGCAGGGACCCCACTTCCCTGCAAAGGACATTCAGGTGTGTGTGGGAACTGAGTGAAGTCAGACCTCCTCCTACATAGAGACAGGACGTGCCAGGACACCAGGCAGCAGCAGGGACTATGAGTTGCACCAGGGAGCACCTGATAGCACAGAAAAACTACTACTCTAGAGCACAGAGCCAATGACCGCATTTCACAGAGTCAATAAGGGCAAGATGTTCTTAAATTTTACAGAAGTTCTCACACAGTGTTTATTCTCCATGGGCTGATCTGAAGCTGTTGGTCTCTCCTGCTTACTTCTGAATTGTTCCGCAGGGAGTATTGCTGTCCTCTTCAAGTACTGACACAGCCACCTGTATGCAACCCTAATTAATTAATTTGGGATCCAAAGGTCTGATTTGTTCCCTGAAGAAAAATCCAAAACCACAGCAACCTCAGACAAATCCAAATCCAAAATCCAGTGAGATTACTTCCGATTTAACAGTCCCTCCTTACGTACAGAACAGAGTTGAACACAATACTGCATGAAAGCTACACAGTTTTTCTAAACTCTGAGATACTGCAGTGATAAAATTTGGCTAGTTCAGAAAGAAATTGAGAACTCTCACTTCAGAGCAGGAATTGAGCTGGGCACAGTAACAAGGCATGAATTCACACGAGCAAGGAAGGAAAAAAATATACTGAATAACAATACTTTATATGAACAATATTCATCCAGCACTTTGAATTAGGTGGTGGTCCTTAATTCTAGGTTCTTGTTACTCTATTTGGAAGCATAATAATATTATATTACTATGACTGTCAGGTATTTAACAGCAGACAGCCTGGCGGCAAGAAAAGGCCAGTTACCCATTGCAACCCAAACTTCCATGAAGAAGTTCCAAATTCCTCAGCACAGAACAAATGCTTCAGGCTCTGTGCAACTGGTAGCAGGGTCTGCTATCTATTGTAGACTTACACATGCTTCTGAAAAGAAAAAAAAAATTAAAAAAAAAATCAGCTGGAGAGCTTTGCTTTGGTACAAAGAGATGCTCAGAACCGTCTACGTCGCTATCTGTGCCATCCTCCCCTTTCCTTCAGCTGAGCCGCGCAAACACAAAGCCGTCTGTGCCTCCACTGCTAACAAGCAGCAGTTCACGAGGAGGTTGACTACAGAGGAGTACACACAGATCCCAAAGCATATAATAGAAGGGCAGCATTAATCTCCCCCTGTTACGAAATCCAGAAGTATGCTGCGCATGGAAGCCGTCAGGGCTGGATGTTAAAAACACCTCTTCTTTGGAAAAGATGGTTTACAACTTGAGGTTTTCTATAGACAGTTTTTCAAAAAATTATTTCCTCATTGAAAAAGGCAGACTTTTTTTATTGGGAGGAGAGAAAGAAGGGCTGAAGAGGGGCCTGCAATACACATTTGAGCCAGATGTCAAGTAACTAACTAACGGGGAGGAAGGAGACAATTTCTTATTATGTTTCTCCCTGGTCTCTACTCAAGTTGCCATAAAAAAAGACAGCATGGCTGAAATACAAGTTAAATGGACATAAGTCTGGCTTGACTGCAAGCTAAAGTGGAATTTTATTACACTTTGCAAGAGGCAAGATTTCATCGAGAGACTTTACAAAACTGACAGTAAGCTTAAACAAATCACAAGGCAATTTGACTGTGTGTTAATTAGGAATTTCACGGAAAAAAAAAAAGTAAAGAAAATCTACAGATAAAACTATACTTTTATAGAAGTACCCCCATTCCTCTCTTACTAGCAGGAAAAGAATAATGAAATGTTTCTCTAGTAAATCAGCGCAGGTTCAGAAAGATCAAAGATTTGTAACACCTACACGGTCCACCGAGCAGGTGTGGTTACTCCTTCCCAGCCAAATGCAAGGGAGTAACGAATGACTACTGCAAGCCTTATATCTCTTTATCTTTCAGCCTGGCCTCTGGCAGGCACAGTATTGGAACAGTTTCATTCTAGTATATATTATCTCTGCAGATTATGAATTCTTATTTCCCTGTGAAAGTACTTACAGCAAAGACAGTAAATCCACTACTGCTGGAAATGAGTCCGGAAAGATAAAAAGGCAGGGAAAGACCTAAACCAGGGCTTATCCTCCAGTTTATGGAGGCATTTATTAAAACCCAGTAGGAGCAGGAAGATCAGCCCATCTTCCTTCTTGCCAGAAGCTGGCCCTGCAACGTCTGTGAGCAGGGTCATTAACCAGCCCTTTCTCTCCCAGCCTTTGGGTTGCTTCTGCTCCTTCCACCGCTCAGGTTCTTGCAGGCTTATGTACTTTTACAATTCTAACCCACCTTATCCAGGTTATTTCTGTAATATAAGATTCCCTGCTTTTCACAGTGACTTGGAACCCCTCACCTCCAAGTAATCCAGTCATTTCCAAGATTTCAGAATGTTTCCAAGACAAAAACACTCATTTTATACTGTGCCTAGACCAAGGGAGTCCTTATCTATAGCAAGGGTTCACAGATTGAACGAGCAGTCTCATTTTCATGGATATAAAAGGACGAGAGCATGTATATGTCGATATAACAAAAAGAAAAAAGTAATTCTGTTAAAAAAAAAAAAAGTAGCTGCATGT